TGAGAGTATGTGGATGCAAACTGGTGCCTGGACTACCTCAACGACGACCACGGAGATGCTGGACGACTCCTTGGGCAGGGAGTCCCACTGGAATGGCACCACAACGGATGATGAAAACTTTGGTGCGGTCAGGAGACGCGGGAGAGAGGCCATGGCCAGTCCGAATGTGGATGCTTTACTGCAGGATGAGCGGCAGCAGCAACAGGAGCTACAAGCAGAGCGACAGGCCCGCTGTGCGCAGGAAGCGGCACGAGATGATGAGGAGCAAGACCAGGAAAGGAGGGATGCTGCTTTGTATCGGGCTCACCAAGCAGAGGAGTATCGGCAGTGGGAAAACTGGGCAGTCCTCAACACACCGTCTGACCCACCTCGCAGACAAAGAGTCTCCTTCCGAGTCCAACATGGGGATGCGGTGACTACGACACACTGTGAGTTGCCGTTGGCTCGTGGTCGCCCGCTGCAGGTGACTATGTGGACTGAGGAGGTTGTGTCCGGATTGATGCCGGAGACCTCGGATGGGTTGGTGCGACGCCAACAGGGCCTTGCTCCAGTGCGAGCCGCTGGTGGCGCAGGAGACACCATGGTTGATGATGGAGTGGCCTCCTCTGCATCGACTGGACCTACGGTGGTTGGGCATACAGTGATGGACGAGAAGGAGCAGGACCGGATTCGCACAGAAACCTATGAAGCCTGGGTGAAGGGTTCCATCTCGGATGAGGAGGCGGTGAGCAGGGTTGGCGAGCATTATTACGTTGTCTTCCTAGCACAAAAAGCTGCGGATGACGAGGATGCGGCAGGAGGTGCTTCGGAGGGACCGTCGAAACGCCGTAAGTGTCTAGCAGAAGGGTGCGAGATACTGGAGAATGAGGGTGGGAAGTGAGTCGTGCTGAGTGGTATGAGGGAGCGTGCTGACAGGCTCGTAAGTAGCCTTCGTCGCCTTCCTAATAGGGATTTTCGACAGGCACCTGCAAGTCGGAAAAGAGGCGCTTAAAAAAAAAAAAAAACCCTAAACCCTTAAACCCTTAACCCTTAAACCCTAAACCCTAAACCCCTAAACCCTAAACCCTTAAACCCTAAACCCTTAAACCCTAAACCCCTCAACCCCTAAACCCTAAAACCCTAAACCCTAAAACCCTAAACCCTAAAACCCTAAAACCCTTATATAAGCCCTAAACCCTTAAACCCCTAAACCCTAAAACCCTGAACCCTACAACCCTAAACCCTAAAACCCTAAACCCTCACTGCAGGCGTCAATGTTGCTGAGGAGCTTTGGGGATGCTGCAAGCATGGCCCGGCGGGACTTCAGCGAAATTGCAAAACCTACTTTTCGTAGGACCTAGAGTAGGCCCTTATTCCCTTTTTGGGGGGTCAGGTTCCCTTATAAGCCCCTTTAAGCCAAAAAGGGCACCCTTTTTTTTCCTAGGCTACTCTTGGGTCTAGTTTCAACTCTATAACCCAAAGGGTCCTATGTATTGTTATGGGGGATACTTCCTTAAGTCATTATAGTAATTTCTAATATGGAAATCCTACATTCTGCTATATCGGTACATAGAACCCTTTGGGTACGGATTTCATATCATAAGGACCCGAACAGGGAAGCCTCTGTTAAAGCCTGAATGCAACGTTCCTAAACGGTGAACCCTAATTCCTGAAACTCTGGACCCTATAAACCCTGAAACCCTCAAGCCATGAAGCTCTGCACCCTAAGGCCTGAAACCCTTCAGCCATGAATCCCTGAAGCCCTTAAATTCCAAACCGTGAAGCCGCAAACCCTCAAACCCTAACCCTGAAACCCTAAGCCCGAGATTTCGGATGGAGGCCGTTCTCGCGGAGTCACGGGATTTACCCAGCAGCACCTCGGCCGTGGAGACCCCGGACTCTTCTGTGTTCCGAATGCTCACTTGAAGGCTCATGGGACTTAGTAAGTAAGGTTATAAGTAGGTTATAATTAGGATAACCCCACTTAGGGGACTTATAACCCCCAATTATAAGCTACTTACTAAGTCCCATAATCCTCCAAGCAGAACATATGCATTTGGGGGGGGGTTCGGACGACTTAGTTAGTCGGCGAACGGCCTTTTCAAGTATCCGACCCTAACTGAGGTTATTGCACTTACAACTTATAAAACCCATATTGCACTTACAACTTACAAAATCCACAAATCTGCGACTTACTAAGTCTCCCGATCCTCCAACCAAGGGCCTTAGTAATTAGAGTAAGCTTTCTTTAACTGTTCCTTAAATAAGATCCCAGTACGGGTGACTCTAAGGGTGTAGTAAGCGCCAGAAGCAGGGTCCTTACAACAAGTAGGCTCTGGTGCTAGGTAGGGCTTTGGGACATTTTCTATTTTCCCTTTTGGGGGTTAAGAGGATCTTATTTACTAATATTTTTCAAAGGCTTCAAAAGCCCCACCTAGTGGTGGGTTAAGGCCTACACGATCCCAGACCCCTAAACTACCGCTTGCATGTTGGAGAGTTCGGATCTAGACTCGCTGTGTGCGGCATGTCAGATCAAAAGAGGTTTAGGCGGTTTAGGGTTTAGGGGTTCAGGGCGTCCTAGGGTGACCCCGTTCGGGGTGACCCACTTCCTCTTGGAATTTAGAGTTGCTGTACAATGATGATCAGTAGCATTCCATATGCTGCTTTTGTGCCGTGGACATTCCTCACTAAATCACTAAAGTCGTAGGACTCCGAACTCCTGAATTGCACAAACAATGCCACAAGAGGCAGCAGGGGCCTGAATCCACACGTTGCCGACCCTTTTTTCGCAGCACTCCGACCGCACTGCTTAGTCATCCATGTCCGAGTTCCGCCTCTTGAGGCCAGCCTTGGCCTTCGCTTTAGTCTTAGTAGCTGCAGCCTTCGTCTTGGGATCGCCACGGCCACGTGCCCTGCCGCCTCTGCCCCTCGCTCGTGCTCTTGATGCTCCGACTTCGGGAGGGTTACCTTTGTCTGGTACAGCACCGACACGTGGAAGGTCACTTGAAGAGCTGGCCGGATCACCTGCATGTACACTTGAGTCGGCCCTGATCAGCTTGGGCAGATCGGCAGTCTTAGTCTTCTCCAAGGGGCGGACACGTAACACACTACTGTCAGAACGGGCCGGTGAAGCCGCTTCGGCTCCAGTAGGCGGGGTCCGGAAGCCGGTCGTCTTGTCAAACAGACCCACCACGTCTTTGATGTGCTTGAAGTTCGGCCTGGGTCGGTCAAATAGAATGAGATTCAGGGATTCGGACGGTCAAGGGCCCACAGACTATTATCAGTGAACGGGAGATTGACATGGTAGGAGAGAATCCGTCGGCACAGCCAGGGTCCCAGGGTTTTCTTCGAAGTCTGAGGTCTGTGAATAAGAGACTCCTGAAGATGGAATTGTGTACCAGGTCCCAGGGTTAAAACCTCGAGATTTAGATGGAATCCTTTAAAGCCTTCAGCATTATATTAAGCCTTAGCCGTTTCTTAGCCAGGCCAGTGCCAGGGTCCAGGGTCAGGGTCCGGGTCCGAGAATGCGAGATATCTGACTAGCAAGGGTCAGGGTCTCAGGGTGTGATTAGAGACACACGCGCGTTTGCTTCAGTTGGGCTGGGTCAATCTCAGTTAGTTAAAGTTTGATATCCCAGACATGGACGGAGTCATTCATTATATTATAGGGTCAGGGTCCCGGACCGGAGTCGGAGTGAGTAGAGAGTATGTCTGAGAGTCTGCTTCAGTCGGGCTGGGTCTCATGTCATTAGACTAAAGAAGTCGGATTTCAATTCAACCTACTATTATACTATTAATTAAGGCAAAGGCTCTGGGTAAGTTACCCAGTGCCATGGTCCCAGCAGCAGGGAGGACGAAATAAGTAACCGTTAGGGTTAGGGTTTCGATTTATGTCTCACGGTTTTTCGCATATTTATTTTGCTCAGGATCGGATGATCAATGAGTCTGATGCTTGAAACCTTCTGCTGGAGGGCTTATTTTGCCAAGTTCAGATCAGAACAGCCACATCTACTTGACATTGCCTTAAATTGCACATAATATTAAATGATCATTGTCATTCTGTAACGACATTATATAATATAGTCCCTAGCCCCGAGAATAACTATCAGTCTAACGGTTTAACAAGATTTAGCAAGGGTCAGCGGGACATTCAATTCAGGTCAGGGTCATGGTTGATTGGACGAGACTTGTTACAGACTACGACTGATTTCCTGAATTAATTATTTATAATTCAGAAATTCATAGTGATAGATTAAATAAATAAATAAACCCAGGCCGGAATCCCTGACCCTCACCAGTGAGAACCAGAACCCTGCAATTAGGTAATATCCCCTGGACTCCGGATGATCGGATAGGCCTCTTCAGCAAGACTTCCTCAGCAACCAAGTAGTCATCCACAACCGTGTCCCAGCACCAGCTGACACACTCGTGCAATGCCTCGGCTTCCGTGAGTTGCCGCCGCACGCCGTCCCACCGAGCAGCGTGGGATTTGGATGCGCCTGGCTGCTAATATTCATCATTGCCGGTTATGATTAGTGTCGCAGGGGTCAGGGTGGGTTTAAATTACAGTAAACGAATATATTACGTAAATCAGATCATTTGACCTGATTGACATAGGCGGGGGGGGGGTTCTGATGAGTGACGATGAAGCTTTGACCACCGGGTTACGTTTTCGTTCAGGGTTCAGGCTGCAGTTACGATAGAATCCAAGCTAATAATAATCAGACTTTTAATATATAAACTTACTTGCTGTCATCGAACCGACTATTGAGAATGCCACCGGCAGGCTGTCAGTCAACTAGTTTCAGAAACGGTCGCCGACTAAGTATTATATTATATTATGATATGTAATTTATTGACTAGGTAATTATTATTTAATGGACTAGAAAAAACTAAACAAAGCACTGTCTACTATTGACTATAGCTGGGGATAAGAACAAGAATAATGACAACTGCAGGTTTAAACCAACACACAGACAATGACATTAATACTTAAGTTAACTAACGTTGGAACCACCGGTTTAAACCTGTTGAATCGAATCGAATCTACTCAGACTCAGAGCCGAAGAGCCAGTCTCATTGTCGAAAATGTAGACCTGGTAGCGCCTCTGTACGGGATGGCGATTGAACCGACATAGGAACGAAGTGCCAGTCGGCAACAACCTCCCCAGGATCGCGGGGGTCTCGTGCCGCGGGCTCATGTGACCAGACTTCACATCTGCCCGCTCTGCACGCTCAGTGCGTGCTTCCTTGATTTTTTCTTCGTCAGCGGCCACCGCTGCCAACTTGACAAATTCACTCCTGTCCACTGGGTCCAGTGCCTTGAACGCCGCCAGGATGCTGCTAGAGTGATGGCTGCTGTGGAAATTCCGATCCCAGCTCTTGCCCAGCAAGGCATCCATCATCCTTTGTTGCTCAGAATCATCAATCTCACTGCCGAAGAAATGCAACAGGCAAGCTTTTGCGTAGTCCGGTTTGATCAGGGAGCCGTTCTTGCCTTGGCCTTGGCCCTTCTTCGGAAGAATGAAACGAAATTCCGCGTGCAATGCCTTCAGATTCTGCGCCGTGAGGAAAACTCCACTCTGCAGGGCGGCCTTGATGGGATCTCGTGCTGCCTCGACCTGCTCGAGCACCACCATGTAGCCACGCATCTCGGTCGGCGTCGAAAGCGGGTGGCACACAATGCTCTTGCAGTTGAGCCAGACAGGCTCCTTGAGGCTGGTCTGGAACACCCACAGCGGCCTCTTCATCGCTGATTCAGCATTGACACTGAAGAAGACCTGCCAAAACTGACGGACCCAGATTCCGGATCCCTGAGAAATGAAATGTAAAACAGCGACAGTGACACCAACATGATCCCCAAATTACTCGAACAGCACAAATTCAATACAGATGGGAATTCACGAGGTGTACTGTTACAACCGCAAGCGAACTACACAGCAATCAGTCAGATCATGGCACAAAATATACTGAGTTAATGGACAACTGCCAGGATCAGTATGATCGATGAACGGAGTAGCTGATGGAGAATCCACACTTGCCAACTTGCATAGTAAGTACTGATTATGTCTAGTCCATTCAGAAATCCCATATACATTCCTCTTCAAGAAATTCAGACCTGCAGATCTCCAACCTGTGAGAAATCTGCCCGTGGGTCTGTGAGTTTCGACAGGCCTGTCCTGTCTGACTGCCCAGCCCTGGGGATGATACATCTGTGAGAAAGCTGTGTGTAATAGGCAGCTTTCTCGTAGATTTCTCAGATTCTCACAGGTTCAGCACAGGTTTCTCACACCTTTCTCACAGGTTTCTCAAAAATTTCACATAGGCATCTCACCGCTTTCTCACGGCTTTCGCTGAGGTTTCTCACAGGTTTCTCACAGGCGTTCTTAAAGGTTTTCCTATGCTTCTCACAGGTTTCTCACAGGTTTCTCACGACTTTCTCACTGATTTCCCACAGCTTTCTCACAGGTTTTCACAGGTTTCCCATACAGGTTTCTCACAGCTTTCTCAAAAATACTTCACAGCTTTGAAGAGGTTTCTCACAGGTTTCCCACAGGTTCTCACAGACATCTCTCAAGGCTTTCTCAGTCTCATTCTCACAGTTTCAGTTCACAGGTTCCTGAAAGCTTTTCCATAGATTTCTCACAGACTTCCCAGAGTCTGCACAGGTTTCTCACAGCTTCCTTACAATTTCTCACAGCTTTCTCACAAAGTTTCACCGAGCTTTCTCAAAGATTTACAGACAGTCAACAGTTTCTCACAGAATCCCCACGGCTTGCGCACAGGTTCCTCACAGCTTCCCTCAAAGACACGAGGAAGCCGGAGTCACGGAACCTGAACCCACTCACAGCTGTCTCACAGATTTCACCTCACCGAAAATTCAAAAGACAGTTCAGACAATTCACGATGAGTCCCAACCATTCATTCCACTCCATCGACAGTTTGATTGAAGACAATCTAGACAAACAGTTAAACACTGCTATTCAAATATCAACCCGGTAATTCGCGCATGAATATTTATTTAACATTATGCTAATTAACTTATAGTAATAAAATAAATAGTTAGGTTAGAACGAGTCTGCAGCCCCAGCCGCAGTTTAATCTGATGAATTAAATGTTTATTATAGCACTCGGAGCTTAAGTCTAGTCTAATGACAATGATTCGATACAGGCCTTCTCCCCGATGCGGTGTTCAACCAGAGGGGCCATCAGTGCACCGTACTTTCGAAAGCCCAGTGACACTGCAGTCTGGCCGCTGTTCTTGTTCTGAAACACGTTGCCCTTCGTGAAGAACACACCTGCAGTGGTTAAGCTAAGGGCCCTACGAATTTACATATTACACAACTAAACTCATTGCTATTGCCATATAAATACTATGAGTTATAAGTAAGAGCGACTCGATGAAGCAAGTAGGGGCCTAAGGCTTAGTTCAAGCTTTGCTTTCTTAATTCAGGTTCATGCACGTCCGTTGATTTTGTCGGTCATTTGTGAGAGTCAGAGTGGGCCGATGAAAACCTCATCTGAAGGATCGACCGAGTCAGGGGTACTCAATCAAGTAAAGTATGGTCAGCTTGCGTTGCTGCTTGGTTTGTACTACTCGGAATCATAGCTATGTTACAATGTTAATGTTACAGTGTTAATGTCCTAATGTCTTCCCACACCGCATGATTAAATCGATTAGATTGTGGGATGGGCATTCGGCCGAGGACCCCGGACGCTGGACTTCGGATCAGGCAGCTCGGCACTACTTAGATCATATCAGAGCTTGGAGGCAATCGAACGTTAGGATAAAAGTTGAATTTCCGGTTGCGACGATAATAATAATAATATTTTGGCATAGGTTACCAGGTTGTTAGAATGAATACCCAGGCTCAGTCAGGCAAGACATGAATTATCAGTGAAATTAGTATCATTGTTAGTATTCAGGTAAAGCGTTCACAGCCCTAGTAACTTGATTGAAACACTATTATATTAGCAATCCATTGATTATTGCACGGACCGTAGCCGCTGACATTTAAATTTCAGTAACTTAAAATTTAGTGTGACTCAACACCTCAAATAATACATACCCCCCAAAGCGCTGACAGTGCAGTGAGGTGATTCAACCGGACCGGCAACCCTGGACCTTAGGTAAATTTAAATTGTAATTCAGTAATTTTGATTGTTTCGTATTTCTTCTTAGCTTAGGTTCTACTTAATTAGATAAATACTTAGCCTGAAAACGACTATAGTGAATGACGACATAACTCCAAATCCGAAGATCGATCGCGTAACTCCATACAGTAGTCAAATGCCCCCAAATTGTACATCAAATAAATAATAGCATCATAATCTGGCCTGTCCAGGAGAGGTTGATTGGTGCATATCCTCGAGCATCCAAGTGCAGATGTCTCAGCAGGGCTGTTGCAGCCGCTGCAGTCTGATTCGATGCTGTACCGGCTTTCTTGGAACACTCCAGTTTCATGTTAACCAGCCCTTTGCGTACCTCCTTGTCCAGGTCTCGGGTACTCCCGGATTTGAACGCTTTGCCAGCCAAGGTAGCAAGCTGAGGCTCCTCCTTCCGAGACTGCACGTGATTCGTGTGATCTTTCATTGTCGTCCGAAGCACAGGCCATTCTGTGCTTCTTTCCAGGGTCGTGCAGTAAAACCAACGAGTCCACCTTAGTTCAGTCTTAGTGTCGCTGTTGTTGCCTCTTTCAGATTCAAGGTTTCGAGTTGTCTTGGATCCGTTAGGACAGGGTCAGGGTTACGGATTCCGGGAATTATGTATTAATAGTTTTTTGAATATTTTTGACAGGGTCATTGACAAGACAAAGAAACGACTACGACATTGTTCCAATAGTATGTTTAATAAATAGGTCGCCTGATGGACTGTCTGTCTGACTGATGGCAGCTGGGAGAACCCTATTTTATTTTGTTTATCAGTACCCAGACCACAGTTACCGAATACCAGGGGGCAGACCCGGAGGTAGGAACGAATAATGATTTTAAAGTTCTAGGGACTTGACTACCGTAGTTAGTAATTTATTTAGTAATTTTTAAATGCAAATTCATTTAATAATAATAATAATAACTAGATGTAGTAAATATTATTATTAGTTAAATTAAACTTAAACTAAATTAACTAATAATTAGTAGCTTGACTTGAGGGGGTTTCAGGACTCAGAATCATCAGAGTCGGAAGTTGGTTCAGGTCTCAATTCGGAGGGACTCGTGGTGTTGATATTATAAATAAATTGAAACATATTCCTTTGGACATTTGAATAACTGTAGTATTACTGTATGAGTTATTTTTTATTTTAGTGGTAAGGGTAAGGGTGAATTATTATTATTTCTGTAACTGAACATTTATTGTTGTATTCATATCCGTTAACCAGCAACAAATATTATAATATTTATATATCCAGTTCAAATGCAATGATTAATTAATTAAGACTAGACTCGAACATTCGGTTCAGTTCGGTTCAGATGTCACACACTGATAGATCACGACCTGTCCTTGGGTCACTGTCACATCAAAACCGGTCCAGTGCAGGCGAGGGGCTTGTTCATGGCAGTTGGAAGGTTCGAACTGCGGGCGACGGAGGCTAGGTGCGCGAAGAGATCTTCCAGGTCCCATTTCGTGTTCGCCGGACCGGCATACAAGTGCTCCGCTTGGAGCCGGATGCCGGCATCACTTACCAGCCACCTTCCTTGCTCGCACACCAACCAGGATTCACGAGCAGTTTGTAATCGGTTCCAGGCTAAATCCAGTAGTAGCCCGGAAATTGCTGCCCGATCTGCCGGAGGGGTCTTGCTGTCTGATGCAGAGGCACGTTCAGCTGCCAGCACAGCATCCCACACCTCTTTGATCATGTCCAAGCCGGCCTGGGCAGCTGACCGGTCCTCCATGAGAACGACTGCCAGCGAATTCGGCTGGCAGGTGCTGAACTGGATTTGTGACCAGCTGCGGGCTGATGCGATCTCAATCAGCACTCGCCAGTACTTCTCAATCATTTTGCACTCGCCCAAAAACCATTGTTCTGAAGCATCTGGATCTTGAGGGAGAAGGGGGGGTGCCGACATAGAAACCGTGATGCCGAAGCTTTCAAGCGCTTGCCTGTCATGAATCCGTTGCAGGGTCGTCCGCACTGTTGTGAACCAGGCAGCACCACTTGCACGGTTCGCCTGGAACTGCATCGTGGTCTCCTGCCGCTTAAACACCGAAATCGCAACCGGGGTAGGGGTGGTGGTGGTATGGTTAAATGATTAATACGTAGTCTGTGTGTGTGTGTTTGATACCAATGTATATATATATATATAACTATATACGTTGCTTACTAGGAATCGGGAAGACTCACTAATAATAAATGAACCCGGAGTCCAATAAATAAACTGTATTCAGGTTCTGAACTTTGGGTTTATTGTGGGATGCAGGCGGTCCGTCCGTCCGACCGACCGACCGATGACAGGACTCATCAAACTTAACTTAACAAACAGTAGTACCAGTCAGTAACCCGACATTGGACATTTTAGACTTAGACATAAATCATAAGGTTCCACTCACTCTACTCTGGAATCCTGGAGTCCAGCTCGGCTCGAATTGAATCGAAGACGATGATGCAGTGTAACAGTAATGAATAAATAATAATTTAAATTCATCATATTAATAATACAGGATTGAGCTGAAATCCAGCCACTGGTGATGCTTGAGTGAGGTTAGTAACCATGTTCATGCCATTATTAACCGGAGTGTCGTCGGACTGGGAAGTGATTATTATTTATTGACCCATAGATAATAGTAATTACTTACTATGTGGAAGGATCTAGTAATTAACTTGCCATAACTAAGACTAATGACAAAGTAAGTATTTAACTAACTAACTCAGTGACTCAGACAGACAGAGGCAGGACGAGACAGAGAGAGACTCAGGCGATCATCCAGGGATCTGCTGACAGTCGAGGGGTCCAGGGCTCAGGGTAAGTGGGTCTGACTAACTTAACTAATAGTTAAAAGGCCTAATTTGAAAGACCATTGTCACTGTCAGGTTCACAACGACCTTTATTATCAAATTAAAATGCTCCGCCCTCCCGGTCCCGGGCGGACCGAATCAGAGTCATCACCAGTACTTATTATTATTAAAAGGCCACATCGACACAAACACACACACACACACAGAAACACAGACACACACACACACACACCACCTATTTAACTAACTCCTGAAGCCTCTAATGTCCGACGCTGTAGTACTCTGAGCATACACTTACTAAGCTACACTGAGGGATCGTTGTACAATCAGCTGGACCGGCCGAATTATTATGAATGAACTGACACTGTCAGACTGTCAGCTGTATCTGTTCTTACGTCATAGTTGCTAGTATACTGCAGTTAGTTAGTTAACATAATATTTAATAATCAACTAACAACTTATTAAAGATACAACTTAACTTAGTCGTCAGGATGTCAGTCATGGTGAGCATGACCGGCTACTAATTCAATAATAATAATAATAATAACTGCTGCTGTTTAACTACTAACTAACTAACTAAGTTTAAGTTACGACTGACAGGGCCAGGGCAGCAGACGGAGTCCTGACTCTTCTGCTGCTGGAGTATTGAATGGTATTCATGATTCACAGGCCCACAAGCAGCACTCACCATTCTCAAGTCATCTTGCAGGGCCCGATCTGAATAGAGGTGAGCACACAGACGCATTGTGTTGCCAAAGCTCTGGCGCAGCTTCTGCAATTCGGCTTTAGTCTGTGGCAGGCTGCCTTGCACATCTCCGACGACAACGTTGGCACGTTCGCCGTCAGGGTCTTCATCATCATCGCTCTCCTGGTCCTGGGCTGGGGCTGGGCTGACATGATGCAATGCTAGGATTGTCTAGCTACGTCCAGTTTATATCTATGTTTACTGTAGTATTCAAGTTTAACTTGTTTTAATTTTACAGTGATTGAATTGAATCATTTATGTATTCAATTCAATCACAGTAAACTGTTTTTTAAATTAAACTTGCTTAGTCTTAACTTTAACTAGTAACACAGTCAGTATAACAATAACAAACTATTCTTTGTCTGTCAAGGACTCCTAGCTAAGAATATTCATTTGTCTCCCAGTACAGTCTACACTGTAACCCAGGTAACCTCAACTCTCCAAGTCTCCACTGACAGAGTCAGTCTGAGGTTTAAGACTATGACAATTACCATAATCATGATTTAATTAATTTAATCTATGAATGAACTAACTATAGATACTAAAACTAAAATCTTTGATAACCGAAGCCGGTGCCTACTAACTACTAATACCAACTAGCCTGATGTCGTATCTCGAAAAGCCGACCGTGACAGACAATAATAATTCAGTAGTCACTAGCAGTAACAGACAACTTATATTAAATCTAGTCATTGTAATATAGTAACTTAGTAAGTAACGCTGACCGGGGCCTGCCTGGATCCCTGTCCCTGTCCCTGGCAATGAATTCCAAACTTAACCCAACTGCATTGCATTGCAGACCAAATCGGAAATTCAAGTACCCAAAGCCGAGCCTGGAACCTGGCACGATAAGCAAAGCTTAGTTAGCAGCCCCTCATTGTCAATGACTCAACAAAGGCAACTTCCAAAGCTCCGCTTGACTGGCACTGGGCGACGAGCTGCATCTCCGAGCTTTTGGAGCGCGTGGTCGAGGACGGTGCCAAGCAATGTCCAGTTGTCGCACAGGTAGTCCATTACTTCCACAGAACCGAACCATGACTTGGTCTTCACCTGCCCCAGCTAAATTTGGTCACTGTTTCAGGGATGATTCTTGGGTTCTGATGTTAAGCTAGTATGACAATGATGGTCTTTTGAGTCACTGAGAATTTCAGTGGAGAATGGCGACTATCTTATATTTCATGGTTAAGACATTATATTATAACATTAATAAGAAAGACACATCCCGCAGGACTCAAAGTCAGAATCGGGTCTGTGCTGTCGCCGTGGTCTCTGACTGACTCCTGACTCTCTCTCTCTCTCTCTCTCTCTCTCTCTCTCTCTCTCTCTTTCCCTCTCTCTGTCTCTCTCTCCGTGAGGCTTTACTGGGTCATTTCGTCAATTCAATGGAGAATGAGTCGGTTGATGTTCCACTGACCGAGTCTGAGGGCCCTGCATAGGCTGGGAGATTCTTGATGGCAGGTAATGTAGCAATGTCAGAGGCAGAGCGAGGAAGTCGGGCGTCCAGGTGGTCGCATCTCATGTCATTCATCATCTCATCTAAGAGAACGTCAAATGACTCTGCCGACATTCCCTTAAGGTCCTCAGCTGCTTCCTCCAGGGTCTGCTTGTTTTTTCCGCCCCCAGAAGGGCCATGAGAACAATTCGCCAGTAGCCCGCTGAGGAGCAAACAATACTGTAACCCACTGCGACGCAGTGCATTCCTGCAATCGTTCCATGATGAGTGGGTCGACTCAGGGTAGCCGTAGACTCTCAAACCCAGTTCGTGTCCCAAGCAATGCACCATTTTGAACGGCAAAGTTTCTTCGTCAGCAGCCTTACTTTCAAGCAACACTCCGAGGACAAGGCTCCTGTCTCATCAGAATTATTGATATCTTGATGTACTTTCCTGTGGTTTCTGCTTCTCAGACTCAGACTCAGAGCTCAAGGCGAGTAACCCAGCCCAGCAACCCTGAATCCCTGTCACTGATTATTCATTAACTAATTATTCCAGGATTTACGAATAATCAGAAAATAAGCAAGACAATACTAACATGATGGCGAGTCATATGCCAATATATATATAAGTAATAATATCATAAATTTAATTATATGATAATATTTAGCAGTTGGTACTGTAGGACTCCGACAAGAAAGACAGTTAACAACAATAATTATGATGTAATGACATCGACTAGACAGACATAATTTAATGGTAGTCTTGTCATTTTAGACATTAATTCTGAAGATTATTATTATTGCCTGGGAGCAATCGTCAGGATCATGCGCTGATCTGCCCGCGGAGGGTTCAAGCCGTGCTCTGGAGCAGGAAGTATCTCGCTTGCACTTTTCAGTGGAAGCAATCTCACGGCAGGCTTCCTGGGCTATTATTAATCGCTTTGGCAGTACTACTACCTAAAGGATTGATAATCAACAAATGACAATAAGTAACTAACATCGTACTGTACCTGACCGGGCCTTCAACTCAAGGTCTGAGCTGATTATCATTATCTAGTTATTCGTCACAGCACTTGTTTATTATTATTAATTAACTCAGTAAGTTAACATCTAAAAGATAAAGAAGAATCCTTTAATTAACCATTGCCATTGCCACTACTACACTAAACTATCGTCGTCAGTATTTAACTAACTAATAATAAGGCATCGTAACTTGAGATTTACAATAATAACTCAGGATTTACTACTGCAATCAATAATAAAATATGCTACACTTCCTATACGTTACTAATTGAAATTTGGACTGAGAGAGTTCATCTCTTATTATCGGTCTATCAGAAGTTCAGAACACACTGATTTGCAATGATACTAATTATATAAGTAACTTACAACTTGTAATAATCGACAAGAATACGAGTCAGGTCATGTCATATTGTATGAACCGTTTAACCAATTAGATTGTTGACGATGGCCTGCATACTCACAGCACGCCCATAATTAATAATGAACCTGACACAGTCGTCGGAGTATGGATGCAAGTGATGTAGTAATGTTCATGAACCGCCATGACAATTACTGACACCAATTCCCAACTCCGGAAGTAATGTAGTGATTAGTGGTGTAGGTTACTAAGACCCAGCCTAGCCTGGTGTTGGTGACCTGACCTGCACAAGACCAAGAGATCTACTGACACACTCGTCGTTGACGAATCATCATGAACGTAAGCACCCCACCCTAAACCCGACCTGACAGACCCACAACCCCGGTAACAGTAAGCAGCACCAGCCGCCAGCCACATGACTACTGAGCTGCCGCCAGAGATCAAGTCCTTGAGGGTGTGGCCCCACATCAGGTTCAGGTTGGCATTCAATGCTTGTGCCAGCACCTGGGATTAATTGGTGTCAATGGGAGCATGGACACTGGTGGGCAGCGGCACTAGAGTCACTAGAGGTGGGGTATGAAATCAACCCGATGTCCTGACTGAAGCTGGGTTATGCTCCCTTGTTAAGACTGCTGACTGACTGCTGAACAGAGGCCAGCATGCCTTGTATCGTCTTTCGCTGTTTCACCGGCAGGTCTTCTGGCGGATCCAGCTCGCTGTGGGCACCGAGATTCCTGAGATGACAGGGTTGGAGGTTTGGGCATCGGGCCTTGGCAGGCAGATGATTAATTTAATTATTGATTGAATATTGATATAATACTTATTATTGTTAATTGGCATTGGTCCTGGTTGGGTCTTTAGGATAATAACCTGAGTTCAAGTAAATTAAAATAAAGTAGAAAAGAAAAGCCTAAGCCAAGCTGTAGTTAAGTCCAGTAGCCGTACAAATGTAGATGACCAGATAAGAAATAATAAGGCCGACATCGGGTAATTCATGTATTAAATACGGATGGATCTCAGATCACATACACAATAATATATGGCATAATAATCAATGCTGGTATTCGGATATGCCTACGGTGGCCTTAGCCTTAGTAGGGTGTCTTCAATTAAGTAAACAGTAACCATATTATATTATTATAGTCTCCATGTTTACTGTCACCCGACACTCACATTTCTTAAATAATACCTTCAACGGAAGGTATTATTTAAGAAATGTGAGTGTCGATTTACACAGCACAGTAATATGATAAAACCCCATGGGCCCGTCATCAATGGCAAGGCTTCAAGATAATAACAATATGTTGTCTTAGAGCCCCGGCTATACTATTTACTTTGCCAATTGGCTGCACTGCATGGCATTAGAATCTTCGGCTGGGTCTTGTGATTAAGGAGCCCCTCCTGCCTAACTTCGTCGCTGGTCAATCATTGTGACTGTGAAATCAGATCAGTGAGGCCCGAGGTAAACATAACACTTGTCATTGAAAGGATTCATGACCATGAGTACATGCAGCATCCAGTTGCTTTAGTGTACGACTTGGGCATTTGGTGGCGTTGACAGACATGACTCAATGACATTATGACATTAGTTACAGCTTTGAGTCCCTGCCTGCTTAGAATCCCAGGAACCCAACTAATAACCTGCCTGCCTGCAATCTCAAATCAAAGGCTTGCAGCTTCGGAGCTCGAGACTCTGAGAGTCTCACAGCAGCACAAAGTCAAAGACTTAAAGACACAAAAACATGTTACATTAAACCATATATCAGAAAAGGACTTAAGAATCTACCTAAATTAAATGAGTAGAAATAACATGTAGAGACATTCTGGGGCCGAGGACAGTGACAGGCAGATAACCTCGCCTGGAGTCTGGAAGGGCGAGAGGTGTCTGTGCCTAATGCCTTGTAATGATAATATAGTAAGGTAGTAGTAGTGGTAGTAGAAGTAGTAGTAGTATTAGTAGAGGTAGTAGTGGCAGTGGTAGTAGTAGTAGTAGTAGTAGTAGTACTAGCAGGAGTAGCAGCAGCAGCAGCAGCAGCAGTCGCAGTAGCAGTGGCAGTAGCAGTGGCAGTAGCAGTAGCAGTAGTAATTGTAAGTGGTCGTAGTAAGAAGTAGTCGTAGCAGTGGTCTAGTAGTTAGTAGCAACAGTAGAAATACCTTTTGCAGTATCAGTAGTAGTGGTGGTGGC